ACAGAGCAGTTTCCCCAGAAGGTGAAGAAACAGCTGTCCCTGCTAGGGCAGAGGTTTCCACACAGAGTGGCAGCAGCCCTCCAAGTCCCAGACTTTAGGGGGTGTCAGGAACCTCTCCCTGAGGCCAAGGGAGCTGTCTCTCAGCCCTGCAGGCCCTCTTGGAGGAGCCGTGCTGGCAGGTGGAGGAGGTTCAGGAGGAACATGCAAACTGTGCAGCTTCAGAGGAAGTGGAAGGGAGAGAGACAGGGTCCTCTCCGAGACACAACAGCGTGAAGACTGTCAGTCCCCTCCTGCAATGGAAAAGTGGGCAGTGTCTATGCCTGCTAGCAAACTAAGAAAATATTCTGGAGAACTGGAAAGATGGAAGTTGATGACTTCTTTTATCAAGAGGAAGCTCCCACCTCATCTAAGAACAGATTGACTGCCCTCATAATTGAGGAGGAGCCAGATGTGTCCCCTAGCAAAGGACGTGGCTCGCTTAGCTGTAAACCATGTGGGTCTAACAGGAAGAAATGGTGAGACCCTGCAGTGGGTGACTCCCTGCTGCGAGGGACAAAGGATCCATCTGTAGGCCTGACCAACCCTCTTGAGATGCTTGCTGCCTGGGAGGGGCCAGGGTCCAGGATGTCGTGCAGAGACTGCCAAAGCCTGTCCAGCCCTCTGACTTCTATCCTCTGTTGTTGCTCCATTTGAGCACAAATGATACTGCTAGGGGAAACCAGTATATGCTGGGCGCTGTAGAGCTAAAAAGTAGCTTTGCAGAGAAGGACCTGGCAATATTGATGGACATCACGGGCCAACAATGTGCCCATACTGCAAAGAAGATAAATGGTATCTTTGGCCATATTGGACAAAGTATTGCCAGCAGGTCAAGGGAAGTCATAATTTATGCAGTGCTGCTGAGGGCACCCCTGGAATGACATCTCAATATAAGACACACATGATACACTGAAGAGGCCCAATGAAGGGCCAGAAGAATTATTAAGGGATTATTCCTCATATCTAAGATATGAGGAAAAACTAAGTGAACTAGGACTGTTTGGCTTGGACAACAGGCTCAGGGGGCTCTTATCCATGTGCATATATACCTGAAGGGAGGATGCAGAGATGAGAGCATGATTTAATGGCCAACATGGAGGCGGTGGTGTTAAGTTGATGGTTGGACTTGATGATTTTAAACATCTTTTCCATCCTTAATGATTTTATGATTCTTTTCAGTGGTGCCCAATGACAGGACTAGAAGTAATGGACACAAACTAAAACACAGGAGGTTCCCTCTGAACATCAGGAAACTTTTTTTACTGTGAGGATGACTGGGCACCGTCACAGGTTGCCCAGAGAGTGTGGGGTGTCTCCACACTTGGTGAAATGCATAAATCATCTGGAAACAGTCCTGGAAAACCAGTTGTAGGTGAGGAGTGGACTTAGATGACCTCCTGAAGTCCCTTCAGTCTTAATTGTACTGTGATTTTGCAGAAAAATAGGACGTTTAAACTGACAGAAGCTTCTGCTGAAGTTGTCACTTCTCTCAAATGTTTTTGCTCATCGCTGGAGCCTGCCTGGCACAGAAGTGGCTATGAACAATGCAGAGTTGAACGGGTTCCTTTGCAACTCACTCATGGTGTGTTTGCCAAGTGGAGGAGTAATAGATAGCAAGTTTGAAGTCTACGCTGTTCTGCAGGATCACTAGCCCATCCTGTTCAGTCTTTAGCAAACTAAAGCCTACAAAATATAATTAATATAATAATATAATTAATATAATCAATATAATTAAAACCTACTCTCTATTACCAGTCTTGCACAGAAGTGTATGTTTTACAGTTATCCCAGAGCTTTCTGAGAACTATTGCTCTCAGATTTCCCTTGGTAAGAAGAAATAGAAATACATCTGATGTTCTTGGTTTGTTTTTCAGTTGAACCTGTGATAATGAAATAAATCACTTTCCCTGTAGGATCTTGAAAATTATAGAAAAATATCCACCATTGTTAAAAGCAAAATCACAACATTTGGTTTAGTGTCAAATTGTTCCAGTGGCTATGTCTGCTAGTTATAGTATATCCACATCTGAAACTGCTATTATACCCCTAGTTTTATTGGTAACAACTGTGCCTTCCACAGTTTTCTCTTTGTTCTGCACTGGTATGAATCTCTAGAACAGTGAAACTTTTAAGTATCTCTTAATCAATGTTCACCTAGGTCCGCTGATATAAAAGATTATTGACTTTTTTATAAAAGAATTTTCAGCGAAGTAAACTTTAATTTAGTTCTTGAAAAAAGTTTTGCCACTGGAGACTTGCTAATGTGTTGTATTCTCATGGAAAACTGAATCCAAAGTGTACTGGTGATGCATTTTATGAATTTTGTGGTAGATTCATTTAAATATAGGTTTTCTATTGGTTTGAGATGAAAACAGTTTTACTGAAAACTGTTTATTTCATAAAGTATCTATCTGACTCCAAACACTGTGCTTTGGAGAAAGAGGTTGTTTTTATTTGTTTATAGATCAACAAAATTTGAGAATGCAATTTAGTGAATCATACCAGATTTTATTGCTGCAGTTGGGGATAAGAGCTTTCTCTTGTGTGGAGCAGAACACATATTTTTTTATAGGATGAAGCTGGGTTTCTGAACAGCACTAAAACACAACCAGAAGTTGCAGAGTTCCAAGCTTAGTGATAATTTGTTGAAAATTTACCTCAATTTTCAGGAATACTTGGAAAGATAACGAGAAATGTATCTTAATTCAAAAAATTTAATTTGGCAGCTATTTTGTTAGAGATTTACCACTGATTATATCCAGGCAAACTAGATACAGTTCTGGCTGGAGAAACTGCTCTGACTTCCACCATTAATTTCCCAACTCCTCCCACAATATATGAAGAGGGTTGGTTCATCACCCATATCAACTTGCAGCAGGATACCATCATTGCCACAGAATAATACACATGAATTTGTAAATTCTTTTAGCTAGCCCAAACTCACACTAGGTGATCAGCTTTTGCCTCAGTCTGATATAAAGTGAGACCCAACTGATGACTTACATAATGTAGGTATTAACTCCTTGACAGATGAGCAACAGACCATGTTATTTTTCTTTAGATTATCAACAAGGTTAGTGGAAAGATTGCTTCCTCCTCAGTTGTGTAGAGAGAGCCACATCCTGTCTCAGTATCACTCTTCTTTTTGTATGACTTTATATTGGTTACAGATGAAATGACCCCAATATAGTGCCATGGCAAAGATGTGATGCTGCTTTACTACATAGTTTTTGGGTCAGGAGACCTGATTCACATTTGTTTTTCTTAATATCATTTTGGATAGCTCTGAAGGAAAGTAATTAGTTTGTGTGACCCATTGATTCCCTGAGGCCATTTATTATTTCTGTGTGTCCTAAATAGGGCATAAGTTTCTTTGGAATGAAGACATGAAGGGTGGCCTATAAAGGATGGGGAAATAGCAGAGTCTTTAATAGAGCTGATGTGTTTTCTTATTGCTTTTCTTTGTGTGTTGTCATGGAGAATAGTCAGAGAGAGCGAGGCAGTGGTAGAATTAAAAAAAAAAAGAGAAAAAGGAAAAAAAGAATTCTCAGTGATTAAACAGGAGTCTGGGATTATTCATGCCTGCTAAAGCCTTCCACAAGAGTGTTGTTCAGGTCATGTCAAATAGGCACCAGATAAGCACAGGACTGTGATACATGGCTCTGTGCTCGTGGTACATGCTGCAGAGATGCCTGCTTCAGAAAGTTGTAGCTCCTGTAAATACTGGTGACAGGGTCTCTTCTATCATTGTCTGCAGGCGGTCTAGCTTTACTCACCTTTAACTTGCCTGTGAGAAGAGCCATCAGATTTTTGAAGAGTGATGTGAATGGGGTTTTGTTTTCCTGAGAAGCTGTCTGGTGAGGCAGAGGGGCTCCATTAGGGATGTTCATAGCGTAAGCTCTGCAGTGGATCAGGTAGCTACCGGCTTGCATAGCAACGTTGTGGCCAGCATATTAAATCATATGTCACTTTAACCAGCATTTGTCATCCAGAGGCTTCAAACCCTTCCTAAAAATAGAAAAAAGTGAATGCTTTCGCTCTCACACTAGAGAAGGAAAGGTTAAGGCAAAGAGAAGTCAAGTACTTTGTCCACAATCACACAACCAACCATCCTGTCTTGGGAGAATTTACTCCAAAATCCATACCTTCCATTTTCAATTACCTCCTTTTTTGTTCTGTGGTCTTCTCTTTTAGTTTCATTTTCTATGTGTTAATTCAGGATTAAATATGTAGACTGCAAATGCGTAAATAAATTCAATTGTGTTAGTTATGGAGTGACTACAATTTCCATGTATTTTGTGTGATTTTTGTAAGATATTTCTTAAGAAATATTATGAAACTATTTCATAGGGAAAAAAATATATGTTCTGCATTAAATAAAAAAAAGGTAAAGGTGAAGATAATTTTTTTTTTCTTTTTCAGGATTTCTTAGAATGAGCTAAATGACTATCAGTCATCTGGCATGTATTTTAATCTCCTCATGTGTGTAAATCCTCCTTGTGGAGCCTAATGAAGCACTGAAATGCTGGAGTTTTAACTTCTATTTTTTAACTTCAAAACCCAGAATACGACTCAGGCAAGCACAGTGAAGTAGAAGCTGCCTGAGGATGTAAAACAGGAAGCAGAAGTAGATAGACACATGTGTAATAGGTTTGTGTTTGCTCTCTTGCTCAACTAGCTATACATCAATTTTAATTAACACGTTTTTTGCTTCAGCTGCTAACGTCCCTTCAGCAGTGAGTGGGTTATGTGTTTCCATCCTGCATATACCAGCATCACCACCACCACGTCCTTCTTTTGCTTCCCCCTCCCCTTTCTACACAAATGTTGCAACACAATCTGAAATTTCCTCTTTTCTTTCCTTCCTGCATTTCTTACAGGTTCCTTTGCGTCAGAAGGCAAAAAAGAAAAGTCAAGGTAATGAGAGATTGTTTTTTCTCTTCTCTCCTGGATTCCTCTTTTGTTATTTTCTTAGTATGTCTTATTCTTGGGAGGGTGAGGATTTTGTACTGCTACTCATCTGGTGAAAAGCTGCTTTTTAACTCCACTGATTCTTACACCGATTCTGAGAAAAATGACAACGGGCTGTTCCTTTGGACTAAATCCTTGTGGTATGTTAATTGAATCAAAGCTGGAAATCAGTGAGGCAGAATCAGCTGCCTGCACGGACATACACACTAGTGGTTTTCATGTACTTGGCATAGTAGTTTTCTCTAGCTGACTTAAATGTATTCTTTTCAGTGCAGCTGTGTGAGGGAAAATATATGCATGCTTCTCTTAAAGGGATCAAAGGCTGTATTTTTAATTTACAAAACCTCATGTATAGTTATCTTAGCATTAATTAGTATCTGCATTATCTATAGCTTACTGTTTTATTTCTGAACATCAGCAAGCCTTTAAAATGAATGTGTGTTGCTGTCATAGCCATTATAAAACTCAATGACTTCTAAGTATATTTTAAGATATGCTTGGATGACTTGCTGAGATTCCTAAGAAAGGATGATATCCTTAATTGGCAGTAACACCTTTCCTGGTAATGCAGTTTTAAGCAAGCACAACACTGTATTTTTAATGGCACAGGGTTCTTTATAATGAGCCGACGGAGGATATCGTGCAAAGAGCTGGGGCAAGCCGATTGCCAGGGATGGCTCTACAAAAAGAAGGAAAAAGGAGCTTTCATTGGCAACAAATGGAAAAAGTTCTGGTGTGTGCTAAAGGAGTCATCACTGTATTGGTACAGCAGTCAGCTGGTGAGTACAGCGTCCAGCCAGCCCCGGGTGCCAGACAAACAGCATCTGCTGGGACTGAGACAAGGGAAGCTGGGGTCACAATTTAGGCACACCCTGAGTACAAATAACCAGGTTTATTTCTTAACCCTGACACTTCTTGAGATCTGGGAAGACTTGTGAAATGTTAACTTGCTGTTTGTTTTGCGCTGTAAAGAGTTGTTCTTTAAAGGCACTGGTGGCATTTGAATTTGAGAAATGTTTTCCTGGATATAGGCAATTTGCAAACACTTGTTGTCAAGACTCAAAACAGGAATGCTTCTTCACTTCTTCTTCTGCTTCTTAATTTAATTTTCATAAATGTCTCTCCTGTTTCCATCCTCTTCCATACTGAGATTATTCTGTTTGTGTGCTTGGTTTTCTTTCTTTTACTTTTTGTCCCTCTTTCTTTTTATTTTTTTTTTTTATTTATTTTTTTTTTCATGTGGTAGAGGACAACTGGCTTTACTCTGTGCTTGTTTGATTGGACAGAGATTTTGATTTGGCTTGATTGCCCATCCTAGGAAGATTCAGATATGGTTATTCCCTTCACTTTGCTGTCTGGCACTGCTACTTCTAAAAAGCTCTTATCACATTCAAACGATGGAGTGACAGAGCTAAGAATTAGAGTGTGAAGAGAATTAGAGTATGCCAGCAAAAGCATAGGTTGAAACTCAGCAGCCAAATTGTGGATGGACATGAGGTTCCCTAAATGCAAAGTAGCTGCTCTGGAAATCAGCATGTCACAGGAACAGCAAAGGATGAAAGATTAAAGAAACCCTTATTAATTCTTAGAGAATTAAAAAAAAAAAAAAATCAAAGTCAATCTGGATGATTTCCATCTACTTATTTCCACTGCAGTAATCCCCATCAAAAATTTTGCTAACTATTTCAGGAAAAAAAAATAAATAGTTTAAGCCATTAAAAAAAATCCTCATACCCCAAACAAAGCTTTACTCATGTAGCCTATTTCACATTCTCCCTTCAGTTGTGGGTATAGTGTTAGTAGTTTTTCGTGGGGTTTTTGTTTGCTTGTGTGTGTGAGAGATATTTGTTTACTTTTTAAAAATACAAATAAAAACTTTGACTGGTACTTCAAGATGATATTAACTATTTCTTTTTGGGGTAAAGGAAAACAACTCTGCTGGTCTTGGGCTGTTGCTTTTTATGACAGTAGTAGTCTGATATAGATTTCTTTCAAGACTATGTCAAATACATGCATAGAAAGAAAGGAAATAGGAAAATTGGGGGAAAACAGTTCTAAAAAGGCACTTTTATCCTAATACTAACAGTATCTCTGCTTGAAAGACATGGTGAGGCAGTAATACTAATAAGCAGCTTTAATACATTGCAAAACCTTATTAATATTGGCTTTTATAAATCTGTGTTTGCAGTTGTATTTCTGGCCAAGCAGTTTTAAGAAAGGTGAGCTGGCTGGCGGACATGTCTTTTTAGATACAGAAAATATCAGAAAGGAGTAATCCTGAGGAGTAATCAAGATGGGAGGAAATAAAAAAGGCAAGACTGGGAAAAGTTTGCCTCTTGGAAGAGAAGAGTGATGGGGGAGAAGTGCAAGTTCCTCCACTTCCTTCAGTTGTTCTGGCCTGGTTAAATTCCACACCTGAGATCCAGAGAAACCGTGATCATGCTGGTTCCAGTGCTCCTAGACAGCACTCATCCTTTTAGTCCATGCCTACCTCCTGACTGTCACTGACTGCCCCCAAATGAACAAGGCTGAAAAATAAGTGTCAGCCTCATTCCAATTTATTTCATTTCCTCTGAAGAGCTCACATGGCTTCAAAATACTGCTGTCTTGTGTCTGAGTGCTCACCTATCACAGTTGTGCTTTAAGCATGCTAGCTGGTAGTACCTCTTTGCTTTCAACTTCTGCCAACTCTCACACTCTTTTTTTATGTTAAAAACTCAAGGTTTCTTTTGGCAGCTTAAAGTGCAGCTTCCATGTAACTACAGATTCAGTCAGTGTTTGCAGAATGTCAGTAACTGTGGGGTTTGGAAAAGGAGAGGAGGTGTTCTTTGCTAAGGCCTGCTTTCATAAATTCTTGAGACCAGAGGCATGCTCAGAGTTGTATGTGAGATCAATTAGACCCAGATATTCTCACTCCTAGGTTGGTGAAGGAGAAATTGCAGTGACACATTCGCTTGCTTGCCAAGTCTCTGGCCTGGCATTAGGACTGCCTGCACTTCCACTGTCTTCAGTAAAGTTAATCCTTGGTCCCAGGGGGTGCACAAAATGACAGTATAAAGTTGTGTTGAAACAGGAGTCCGGCTTCTCACGTGCCTGAGGCTTCCTGTGACCAGCCCTTTTACAGAGGCTGATGCCAAAGGTGGTGATGAAAAGTGGGGCTGACATCAAAGGGACTGGGGCACGCTGGCTGCCTGTAGATCTGCTTGACCAGTTTGGTTCTGGTGAGAAATGAGCATGGCTTGTTTGTGGCTGTGTGAAAACCAGACACTGGCAACTGTAGCATAGCAACAGGGTGCTGGACCTTTTTTCTAATGGAGATGGAGAAAATAGAGAGTGGGTGGAATTTGTATGGGAACATGCATTATTCTGGATTTGGGTAGATAACCTCATCTGAATATCATCTTCTTGGTCAAGTTTGTCTTCATGTGCCTCTGAAGCTCAGGATGTTTCTGTCACTCTGGTTTAATTTTTCTTCAAGCCACTCTGGTTCTGAGTCTCTCATGAGAGGCAGATTTGGGTACATGATATAGGACACCTGTTGTGACATTTGCAGCTGGTATTTCCTTCAATTAAAAATAAAATATTTTGTGAATGCCACAGCTCAAAAGAATAAAAATAATAAACAGGTCAGCAATAGCAGATCTGACAGCCCAAGCGTCAAGCTTCTCCTTCATTGAAATAAAGCTAGAGAACACAGGCAAATCTGAATAAATTTTCAATGAGTTAGCTGAGGTCAAGGCCCAGTGGTCTCAGTAGGCTTGGGTAGGCTGCCCTGGAACCTCTTCCCACACACTCTTCTTATTTCTATAAAACATGAGGCAAGTAAACTTCTCTTTGCAGCATGGAAGCATTCCCATTCTGGGGATGGGAAGCTGTTTGGACTAGGAGGAAGCACAGAGGGGTAGGTTTTGCTAAAAAAAAAAAAAACAAACAAACAGGAAATGTCAGAATTTTTCCTGAAAACACAGGAAATGTCAGAAAATATATTTTTCTGACTTTCTGGGTGCATTCAAGAACACTAGACTCTTTGGATAACTGCTCTTCGCTAATATTAATTTCTTTTTTTTCCAGTACTGCTCTCTGCAGGCAGCTGCCTTGAAGACAAGTGTTTAAATAGTACAGTCTGTGATCCTGCCTGACCCTTTAGCTGTTTCAATTCTCATACTGAAACCCCAGAGGGAATTAGTACTCCTACATAGCAAGAGAGGTGGTGGGGGAGGATTGTCACATGTAATCCCAGGCTCCTGGCTCTTTGTGCTTGTTTCGACTGTGTTTGGTAGTGTTGGCTGCAATGGGACAAAGGACTAAATGCCTCTGGCTAGTGGGTCTTTAGGGTAGCTTGACTGGTTTTCCAAATAGAGTTGAAATAGATTTTTACAGAATGTGTTAATGGTGGTTGTCATGGGGATTCAGCTGAAAAGAAATATAAATATAAAACAAAAGAGTTGCAGGCTGTGATCTACTGTCACTATTTATCTTTGTAGGTTTTTGGTTTTTTTTTTTCCTCATTCACTGCATTTAAATTGGTCCTCACTCCAACAGCTTTGCTGGAAGCTGTATAATTACAGTCTTTTAGAAGAAAAATCTTTTACCTTTGAGTTGTAATAGCTGCTTATGTGGATGAGAAAAAGTCATTGATGTCAGCTGGTTGAGCTGAGAGACTTGGGGACCTATGGCCCAATATCTTACACAAATTATTCACAGTTCTATAGGATGTCTCATTGGTGTACTTGGCAGAGAGAATAAAAAGACTAAAATTCTAACCTGCTTCTCCAACATCTATAAGGTCTTCTGGGGGCAGTGCTGAAACACTGATGAAGTCATGAGGACTACCCTGATTTGCAGATTGGAGCTGTTCCACAATAACAAGATATTTCATTTTCTAACACTATTTTTTAAAATCCTGCTGCAGCATTACACTACCTTTAAATGACTTAATAAATCTCCTAAAGCCACAACATTTAGATAACATATTGAGGCAAGCACAAAAGGACGTTAGCCTCTTTCATTGGATTCATGCATTGTGTTTCTTAAATAATTTTTTTTCTTTTAAGTGCAAAGCTTTTTCTGTGAAAAAATGGCTGCTTTCTTTTTTCTTTTTTTCCACAAGAATTTGCAGAGATTGTTGTTATTAATGAAATTATTTTTCTACAACTTGGAATAGCAAAAGCATGGATTAATGTTAGGCTAACCTCCATAAAACCCACAAGAGATAACAGCTTATTCTTTTAAACATCCTGATTAAGTAGAAAACAGGTCAAGGTTCTCTTTTATCTTAGTTTTTTAGGCCTATTTTACAGCTTTGCATCAAAATCTGAAGGAATCTTGAATGTAATATGTGAGGTAAATAATAGCATGCTAAAGTCATGTTAGAGATAACATTTTGGAGGAAAGCAAGCACTTAGAGTGTCTATATGCTTTAAATGTTTTAAAATGTCATTTTTATCCCAAGAATGACTGAAAAGATGACTTCCACATGTTCTGTTCCTAGGATTTATTTGGAATTCTATTTGCTGACTGAAATAACAGCCTTGGGATTTTAAGTCACTTCTTTTCCTTTTTTCCTTGTTTTCTTTATTTTTGTTTTTTTTCTCCTGATAATTAACAAAGATACATACCCACCAAACCTCTCTTTTTCTGTTACATAGATGGCACATTCTGGATGTGTACAGATAGTGTATTTCACTCACACATAAAATGAAACCTAAATTTTTCTTTAAGTGAACAAATATGAAATCATGGACAGAACCAGTATAAAATCTGAATGCATTGAGAGAGAATGTGTATGTGAGAACATAACCTTTTAGCAACTGGAACAGACCAAATACTGCATAAGAAGTCGGGGGTTTCTCTGTTGTACGACTGTTAAAGTTAAACTGCTGAAATAAAGGCTACAGATCTATATTCATTACTAATTTAGAGAGCATTCCCCTAATCATGATAGAGGGATCTATCTAAATTACTGATGGGTTAAGTCAGTGGTTCAAGCCCAAGTTCCATTTCTGCATGGTTGGGAGTGTTCCAGGTGAGTGTCTCCACACTGGCTTTTGGGGTGCTGGTGATTCACTAGTCCAATACAAAATCCAAATGCTCAAATACTTTTATATATTGACAGGAGAGACAGTGACTTATCTAATGGCATTTCATGGACTTAATCCCCTCAGGACTGCTTTTGCAGCACTCTAAACTGTTTATAGCGTGCAGTCTAAACCAGTGGTTACTGCACTGATAAATGGAACTGGCCGAGCTGTAACTGGATTTGAAACACGGAAGAAAGGCCAAATCTGTCCCAGACTTGTCACTCACTCACCCACCTGATGGCTTACCCAGCTCAGGCCACAGATTTATTGCTGCATACCCACGGTATGGGTTTATTCCTTCACACAGGGTCTCGTGGATGACTTTTTCTTAAACTGGGAGTATTGATTCATACTGCAGAGAAGCAACTGGCATTGTATGCATTTCTCATCCAGCAATGTGTGCAATAGTGATTGTTGTACCTCATGGACAGCTTTTTCGAGCTTTTCTGGCTTCTGGTATTCTCAGACTGGTCTTGGGAACTAAACAGGAATTTCAGTGTTCCGGATCCAGTAAGTGATCATCTTTTTGGAACAGAAATGCTGGATAATACAATCTCTACCTTTAGTACAGTGTAGCCCAAGAATAGTGCTCCTTCATTACTCACCAGTATTTATTTGCTCATCCCTATATACTTAATATACTATGGATCTGGTATGGTAATATTAGGTTTAGTTAGCTGTTATTTTATCTCAATGACTTTAATGTTATGAAATTCCAACCTGCGGAATGGAAACAAAAGTTCCCCGATTAGTCAATAAACAAGTTTTACAGACACAAATACAATCAGAGAGTGTTAAAAGCCCACAGTAGCAAATAAGCACCTTTTCATACAAATACTACTAAACAAAAGATTTTCAGCCCAGATGTAAAAAAATAATTTTTTTCTCCTGTACTGAAGGAAAATAAGAAAAACCCCTTCCACTGATGTGTGGTGTGGGTGTGTGTGGGTGTGTGTGTGTGTCTGGGAGCAGCAAAACCATTCACTGGTGATGATGTAAAATATAAACTTCTCACATGAATGTTTAATACATGTAAATTACATGAATGATGGTTAGGACATGATTTATTGTATACCAAAGAACAGATATGCAGATGTGAGGGGAAGCCACCCTCTGAAATATCCTTTCTGTATCCATATTTCAGTTCTTGGAGATTCATACTTCCAAGCATTAAAGCTTGTCTTGATGAACATCTTTTTATAGTCTTGTCATATTCATGCATAATGAGATTTGAGATACTGTCAGTCATCTTCATTTATCCTCTGCCTTTGTAATTGTTGTGTATATTTTACCTGCTTTAACTCAGTGTACATTTTCAGAATTTTAATGTGTCTACGAGCAATGGCTGGGAGCAGCAAAAATGTAATTCAGGAATGAGCACTCTGTGGTTTGGAAAGTACTTTTTTTTCCTGACATTATGTCCTACAGACTTTTGTCTACATTATATGTTGCTTGTGTTACGAGGACTCCTAATCTTATTGCAGATGACCAGGTGTATGTAGATAGATGTAGTAAGGAAGATGTTTCTGCTTCAGATGTTTCAATTTCAGGCAGCACAAACAGGGATTTGAGGCTTGTCACTTCTGTTTTTCTGGAGCAATGCTCTGACTCAGAGTCCTGCTGACTGAGAACAGAGACGTCAACGCTCAGTAAACCTCCTTGCAGGCAGGAAGGGCTGACTGGATATAAACAGGGTACTGTAAATGTAAATGTCTGCCTGGATTTTGCTGCTACTTGTACTATGCCTGCAAATTCCTGGAGGGAGTTATAGCTGCATGACCAAAGCCCTCTGAGGCAGGTTTGCAGTATTTAACCACAGAACTCAACTGCATGGGATGACCCCCTTGCACCTTGTGGGTTGGGAGCACTGCCTCTGCTTTGCTTCTGTACAGGTGGCCCTGCAAAATGGTCCTTGCTGCAATTATACAGGGAACACCCTCCTCCATTTCTACTTAGAATCATCTTGGTAAACTTTTGAATTGTATTTTTCAGCTATACATAGGTTATTTTACGTGCTGCTGTTACATGTCTGTGTGAGATACACACACGCTGTATCATACACAAACCCGCCTTTGAGATGGTAGGTACCATCCAGACCTGAGCAGATGATATAACCCTTGTTCATCCTTATTAGTCAACAAAACCTATGCTTACACTCTGCCACTTGCACCAACAGGAGTGGTGGCTTTCCAGCACCCCAGATATGCGCAAATATAGCTGGGTGTAGAAATATTTCATCAGGCGTTAATGTGTCCCCATGGTGATGAGCATATATTTTCACAGTATAAAAAGCTGTCAAAAACAAGCACTTGCATGTTAAATATTATTCAGCATTGGACTCTACTAGCTTACCAGTTGGCTAATGTGGTGATATTCAATTTTTTTTTCTTTTATGGAAGGCTGAAAAAGCAGAAGGATTTATAAGACTTCCAGACTTCAGTGTGGATCGAGCAATTGAATGCAAAAAAAAGCAGTAAGTTTGTCTCTTGTTCGCAGTTTTGCATGATTTTTACAACATTGCAAGGAATGAATCTCAGCAGTCTTTGACAGAGAAGCTGTGGGGAGTTCTTTTGTGTTGTATAAATAATGAGATATTAATTGAGCTACTGAAAGAAAACCATATTGCAAAAATATTTCTGAAAAATCTCTGCCAGATGTGCTTTGCTAAAGCCACAAAACAGATGAGTGCCAAATGCTTTCTTTTTCTTCTCCTTTTTTTCATTTGCTGATTGTGAGTAGACTGTGGTTCTCAGATGCCCCCTCTTAGCTGAGGAGGTCAGCAGTGGTGCAAGTAATGCTGCATCTTTCCAAGCCTGGACTATTCTTTAGGCTGCTGTGGTGCAACTGAGCTTGGGCTGTACTTGAAGCCTTTGGTTGTGCAGGGAATAAATACTTTCTTTAGCAGGGTGCACATTAAAAAATATTATCTCCAGACTCCATATGCAGCACTGACTTCCAGCTGCTTCTGAGCACCCTTCAAATGTTTGGAGGGGTTGCTGTTGTTCTAAGTTATAAAGTGCAGCACGATTTTAATTGTGTCCCTCAAAAGAAAGCCTTCATTTTACTGATGGAGAAGTCAGAAAACTCAGTCACTCTTCACCTACTGTGTGCTGCTTGTGATTTTACTGTGTCCCATGTCCCTTCCCTCAGTCAACAGTTTTCCATGCTTTGGGGTCTTAGCCTGATTGACCACAGCACACGGAAGCTGTTCCATGTCTTGGGTCATTACTGATGCTTTCTTCCAACATTTTTCAAGTTTGGTTTACATCTCAGAGCTGGAGGAAGCAAAAATGCACATAGTATTTGAGGAATGGGAATGCAACTGAATTATGTAATGAAATAATGGAAGACTGTTTTAGTCTTTATTCCTTCCTTTTTTAGATCCTGTAGTTTATACTCTCTGAATAATGTGTGGCCTAGGAAATGAGCTAAAAATAGACTAGAGTTTTAAAGAAAGAGCTGTACCGATGGACAAGCTAATCAGGATTAATACAGTGGAGTGAATAAATATTTTAAATAATTCATTCAGCTATTATATTTTCTTTTTTATGGAAACTAGTTTTCTTCACGTCTCTTCTTTTTTTCTATTCCTGAAGTGCTATTAAGATCAGCCACCCACAGATCAAGACATTTTATTTTGCGGCAGAAAATGTTCTGGAAATGAACACGTAAGTAGGAGCGACTGGTCATGTTTCATCCTGTCTCATGCATGAGAACACCCTTTGAAAGTTCATTCGTTCACTGTCAAGCAGCCATTGACAAAGTTATTTGGGGAATTACTGAGTCTAATTTTTCTAAATGGAAGAAAACTATTGGTCTTTGTTCACTAATTATAATTGAAATCAGAATTGCATAATTAGCCCAGTTTTGATACTAATCTTCCCAACAGTTATTGGTATAAATCTCTTTCTGTTAGAGCGCTGCTAAGATTTGTTAGCAAGTACAGCACCTGGGAAGAAGTGAGGGGAGAAAGGAAAGACAAAGAAAAGTCCCATAAATGATCTAGGACTACAGTATAACAGTTTCTGATTTCAGAGTATCATAACAGCTAACAAGGAGGGTTAGATGGATAGAAAGGTCTGTTTCTCTAATGTAAATTAGCATTAACTTCAGCTCCAAACTATGCTGTAGTTGAATGATCCTCATGACAGGTCAGAAATTTTCTTTCCACAAATGTCCAGAAGATTAACAACCAAATAGTTCGCAATGGTAGAAGTAAAAATGAATATGAATGTTGCCATTTTAGAAACCACTGAGCTATCAGAAAGATATCTTCTATTGATCCAATTTTGGCTGATTTGGATATATCTCCTACCTTTGTCCTTTTTACTTCAGATTGCAGTCTGTTCTCTATGCTATTGCATTATAAATTATTGCATTAAATGGCCAAATACCAGATACAAAGCAGTGAAATTTAAATGGGAGGGGAGTTCCTGCAACAGTCAGGTCATGATTTTAATCATGACTCTACTGGTGATCTTTGTGTGATTTTTCACAGGTCAATGACTACTTATTCCCTCTATAAACCTCATACATATTTACCACAATAGAAGAAGAGAGAGATTGAGAGAATGTGTGTGACCTTCTGAAAGATCTATAGATACAGAAATGTACAATATTACAGAAGTGTATGTACACAGATATGTATTAATAAATCTGTACTCTACAGATGCATACAAGTAAATATAGATGAAAAAGAATCTGTTGCCCTTTGCAAGCTGGAGTCTCATGAAGCATTCTGGCGGGGAGATAACCATCCATTTCGGTGTTCCTGCATTTCCCACCAGAGCTCCTGAATGGAGTGACAAGTTCCTGAGGCAGATAGGATGAGGATGACTGAGAATGTGGGACATCTGGACAGGAATATTTCAGTAGAGAGGGTAACCCTGGTTAAGAGAGAAGAGATGGAAGGACAGATGAAGAAGGAAAATTAGACCTAATGGAGGATATTAGTAAATTCTAGCAGCCAGTTTGGAGCCCAGCTGAAGATTCTCATGTGGAAAATATTTAGTCTCCTGTGAGTGAGTAACTGAAATCTATGCAGGTGTCTTAGCTCTTATGCCCCAGAACGACTTTGTTACAACGCCACTTCTTGAGTAAATTTCATTTTGGCCTAAAGCTAGGTAGCCTGGTGTTAGAGCAGCCTACACTATGCTGTATTAACTCCCCATGGTTGCAACTGATGATGTTTTCCTTGGCAAAGTATAAAATACATGCATTTAATACATAAAGTACACGCAATCTCACGCATATGTCAAAACAGACTAAAAGACATCTGTTCTCTTGGCTCCAGTCCTGCAAATACACGTGTGAATGGTTCCACTGAACTCACTGGAGCATTTGCGTGTGTTGAGTTCCTGGTGTGCATAAATGCTTGATGGAGCATGACCTTTTGTAACTCTTCATGCATATATTGATATATGCATATACCTGTACATATATCTCTATTAAATCAACAGTGGATTTATTAACGCAGTCATTTGTTTCACTAATTTGTCATGTATTTGCTATTGTCATGCACACATGGAAAGTAAAGGCATGCTGACTAGCTGCATGCATTTAGCCAGTTGTACTCAGTTATTAGTGACCTGTCTGACCTTGTAATTAATGAAGTCCTAGAATTTTTTAATAAATCTTTTCCTTGTTAAGGTGGATTTTTATTTAAAAAAAAAAATCATTCTGTTAGGATTAGCTGTCAGAAAAGAGCCAATGGACCAGTCTTACATAAATGGCACTTTGTTTCTCTGAGTTGTTTGTGGCTCTATTGCTCATACTGCAGTCTTAAAAGTGCAGTTACTTTGATGCTGATCTTACTAGCAAATTCCCTATTGCTTTACTAGAACCAAAATCAAACAAAATGTTTTTTTTCCAGTAACAAATTCCTGCCCTTCATACTTCCTCTATATACACTTTGAGTTTTAATCTTAAAAGCTTGAGCTTTTTCAGTTGTTAGCTACTTAAAATGTGGATAGATCTGAATGACCTACAGGCAAACATAATATAGAAAAGTTTGGGAATGTTTCTAGCACTGGAAAAATGCAGCCACCTAGGAACATAAATGAAAAACACTCTGGTTAATAGCTTAGAGCAATACAGGAAGTGAGACTTACTAAAACCAAAAGTACATAGCAAGTTGAAAAATGTGATATGTTATGATCAAAAAGTGTGATCAAAAGGTTTCATGTGGCACAGACTGTTGCCATAGTTTTGGCCAGGGCACCTGACATCATCTTCTATGGCTCCCACGCCTTTTTCTTCATCTCAGGTGAAAGATGACACCTCAACAGCTGGACTAATTCACTGACCTTTCTTTAACTTACACAAATGTGACTCCCGGGTCATCAGTGGTACCTTTTTTACAGTTTCAGGGAAAGATACCCCAGGCAACTAATCCTGCTCACTAGAGGGAATATTAATATAGAGGTAACTGGTGCCTTTCTAGAAGATGATCTAAGAAATAGAAACTTTGACATTTAGTCTTCAGGCTAGTGAAAACAGATGTGGTGATGTAGAACACAACTGAAAGGAGCAAAACCCAGAGTGAAGAGTATGTGAGTGTCCCTGACTCCGTGTTCCCTCTGTTTCAAACACAGGTGGCTAAGTAAGCTGGGAATGGCTGTAGACCCTCAGGCACCAAACAGGAAGAATGAGGAAGGTATGCTCCTAACTGGTTTCAGTGTGTAAATGCATTGTGTTCTTCACAGTTTTTGCTTGGCCAAATTTTTGTCATCTATTTTCTTTCTTTTGAACTATCATCTTGGGTCTGTCTACTGTCTGAGCTCAGAGAAACCACATTGTCACAGTACAGAGTAATCACAGGAAAAGAAAAAATGGTGAGAAACTGTATGAGTGAGAGACACTAGGTGATCTTGTGAGAGGTGTGTATCTACTTTCTGGCAGTTTGCTGGTTTGCTAAGCCTACCAAGTGTGAAGAAGACAAGCTGTGCTGCTCTGGGTTTTGAGCTGGTGAGTTTTATTACAGGAGTTGTGTTGCGGCATGGCAGCTTGCAGGCCTGGGAACACCTTGTGCTCTGCAGACCCATCCCAACAGTGTGCTTTAGTCCTGGAGGTTTCAACAACCTCAGTGTTGGGGGATGAGGGGTGGTACTGCTATTCTGGAGCCTACAATTTGTTTCAGAGACAAACCTGAGTTCATTATGGAATGAGAAACTTCAAAAGTTCTAAAAAACTAATTTATTGGGTTAATTTGCACACTGACCTAATAGAACATTGGTGGGAGGATAACAGCAGTCAAATCACAGATCTGGGAAGAGGAGCTGGTTTAGAATGAGAGGTACTCTGGGTAATATTATGTTATCAAACCAAGAATGGACTCTGAGGAATATGTGTCATCACCTGGGTTTTAAGTCTCCATTTTTTGAGTATTGGTACCCAGTGCTCCTTTTAGAACTGCTGAGCTTGTGAAGGAGCTGTCATTATGAAGAAGAAACTGGTATTTGCAGTAGTATGACCACTTAGGTGATGCAGCCTGTTTTGTCTAAGCAATGAGGTGTTCCTCTCTGTATCCCTTCTGCTTTATCACAAAATTCAAGATTGTCATTAATGTCCAGGCTTGGGACATGTAATTACATTATTGATTAATTTAATCTGTCTCCATTTATGCTCTACCATTAAAAGCAGTTTTGGGACTGCTAAACACGGATACTAGCGATTCCTGGAGAATTCAACAAGTCTCTTCAGTTTCTTTGTTTTCAGTTCACATTTGTTTCTTGTCAATAAACTTGTTAATTCACACACCATCTAATTCCTCCTGCCTGTATCCTGTTTGAAGCCAACTTTATCAAAACTCTTCAGGATTATCTTTAGGATAAAGGGCTATATTGAATATTAGGTTGTGTAGCAAAAACTGCAAATACTTGTACTCAGGGAGGAAGTGTGAAAATATGTTGTTCATCTTTTCATGAAGGGAAGGGTTCAATGGAAAATGGAAACAGCAAAAATTTTATACATTAAACAAATTTTTTTAAACCTCAAAAAATGTGATACTGGTTGTATTGATTGAATTGAGAATTATGAAGCAATAAAAAATGAGTCATTTCATCAAACTTAATCTAAAAAAAATAATCCAAAAGATATAAAATAATCCACTCAATAACTTCTGCAACAGGTTATCAATAATTTTGCAATAGCACAACCTAGCCAATACTTCTTCAGCTTTTAAAGATAGTCACCCATTTCCCCCTCAGGTAAAGGCCTTCTGATTCTGGTGTCAAACACCTCATTGTCTTTTCATGTGTGTTTTGTCACAGGTGATCCAGCAGCTCCCTTCAGGGTGGGTGCAGCACCCACTGGTGCCTGGGTGGACATGTCCTTACAGAAACATTGCTGTGTTTCATAAAAACACTGTCTCTACCCATAGTCACTTCTATTCCTGCTGACCAGTTCTTCCTCTCTGTATCACACACCATAATTCTTCAGAGTCCTGGCTCTTTCTGTAACATTTCTTGTGTATTCAGGTACTTTCTGTGCATTTTAACACCACACCCCCCTACCATTTGCCTGTTTAGAGTATCAGATACAGCCGTTGATTCTTTTTCAATTTTTTGTGTTTTGTGTGTTCAGTTTTGTGTGTTTAAAAGGGGAGCTGTAGAAAGCATAAGCTTTTTACTGAGTTACTCGAAAAGGCATTAATAGAGTGCCAGAATTTGATACAGGCCTTGTTGCAGCCAGCTTCAGTTCTTTATGCTTACATGTGCCAGCATGTATCTCCAGTAAACAGAATAGAATCTATGCTACTCAAAACCCTACAGTTCTGCAAAAAGTATAGGGAGGAAAAATTATGAACCTCTTTAAGCTTCTCTTTGTTAACATGTTACAAAATTGTCTCACATGGACGAAATTCTTCTCTCTTAAAACTTTATTCCCCTCACTCTGTGCTTATTAACACCCACCCTCCCCCTACAATAACATGCAGAAAAATAAAGCATGTGGGTATTAAATGAGTTAATTTTAGATGAAATAATCTCAGTTGACTGTCCATAGGCCACGCTAACACACTGCTTCCTAGTGGTGTGAGCCCCTGAAATCCAGCTCTGATGAGGAACCAGCTGGACTTAAGCAACTCCTGCTCTTTGGGGCAGAGCGGGACAGAGGCTCTTGAGCAGCACAGGCTGCTGAGTGCATGTGGCCAGCAAAGGGCAATGCTGGATCCCATGGACACCACAGGGGCAGCCTCTGTTCTGTAACCCTGGCACACAAAATGTCCTCATCAAGCTCCAACTTTGTCTTTGCAAACTCTCATGTCCCCAGCTCAGTGGGGTAGGGGTGAGTGCTGTCACCCTGCACGTGTGGTGCAGGGCAGGATGCGAGCACTTCCTCCTGTAAAGGTTGCATTTCTGTTGGGAGATTTAGCAAAAGTGATCTTTGTGGCCTTTCTGTGCACAAAGAGGACCTGTAAGAAAGATGGGGGCAAACACTTTAGCAAGGTATACTGGACAAGGGGTAATGGTTTAACACTAAGAAAGAGCCAGTTTAGACTAGATATAAAGATGTAATTCTTTACAGCGAGGTTGGAAAAACACTGAAACAGGTGGCCCAGCGAGATGGCAGAACCTCCATCCCTGGAAACATTCAAGGTCAGGTTGGACCCAGCAGCTTGGTCTAGTTGAAGGTGTCTTTACTCATTGCAGAGAAGTTGGATTATATGACCTTTTAAGGTCCCTCCTAAACCAAACTATTCTATGATTCTATGATCTTGTCCAATGTTTACTATTGCCAGGTCCTGGGCATAAGAACCAGCAACATTCTGCCTCCCTTTTTCTATGTCTAATTTTATCAATGATCATCATTTCATTTAATCTACCTTTAAACAAGTTTGTTGAAACTGTTTCACCTGCTGCACATATAGTTGAAAGAAATAATAGCATTACTGCCTCTGCCAAAAGTCAAGAGATATTGAGGCTCCTATGAGTTTGTTTTCATTAAAAAAAAAAAAAGAAAAGAAAAAAAGAGACAGGTAGGGTAGTCTTAGAGTACTGTGCTTACTTTTGGTGTTACCTCTTCATAGGTTGTGCCATGCTGCATGGTGCGTCTATGTGAGATACAAAAGGCTTTCACAAGGTTGCTCTATAGCTTCCAAAGCTGGATATGAACAATCTGTTTACTCCAAAATTGCAGCCAAAGCCCCAGTGCCTGTTGCTAGCTCCAGGAAAACTCACTGCTTACAGAGATTAAGGGATTACCTCTGCTACTTGCAACAGCTCTCCAGCATTACCACAAATGGATTAGGAGACACTGATTTGCTAAAGTGTAGTCCCAAATCCAGAACACCCTTTTTGATGATCTTTGGTTGTCACAGAGCTGCAAAGAGTAATCTGTTGGTCTAACTCTTTGCTAATTTTTGCTCATTTTCCATGTCTACCTCAGAATGCTACAGTGAAAGTGAACATGACGATCCAGAAATAACAGACACGCCACCTCCACCCTACACAGTCCAGACACCACCTCCTCCTTTGGTAAGTGTTCCAGTTACTACCTTGTTTCTTGTTGCAAGCAGGTTGAAACAGAGCTCTCCTGAGGTGGTTGACCTCTAGAAATAATCTAAAACATTGTCTGGAAACATCCACACTGAATTCTAGTGAAACCTTCATGCACAGACTGCCCGGCCTGTGGCAGAGCACACAGCTGGCACATCCTGCACCACAGGGAGCTTTGCACTGTAAAAGATCAGCTCCTTACTCTTTATCTTGCTGGAGAAAGGAAGGTGCTGTTCTACCTCATACACAAATTGTGTCTTTCCTTTACGAGATTTTTTAACACACCACTATAAGCTGATTTTTTTCATACTATTCTCTCTCTTTTTTAAAAATCCATCCTGAAGCCTCTCTCTTTTAGTGACCTTGGTAACACATCCAACAGCTTCATATTTATTTATTTGAGTGAGCTGTTTTTAAGACTGCTGAATTTGAAGCTGCTTTTATGGCAGTGAAGAGAAGGGAAAGAGGCCTCTTCACACAGAGATAAAAATCTGTTTTTTTTTCTTCTACCTCTGAAAAATAGACTGTGAAAAAAGAAAATAGGCATTCTTCCAAAATCTATGTAGCATATTGTCCCAGAATATTCTTTCCTGTCTCTCTTAATTTCATAAATTAAAATTAGAGCTATGAACCCTCATGCGTCTAATCAGATTGGCTTACCTAATTATTATCTACTTCTTGCTCTATTAATCTTGTTTCTATACCATTGTTTTTCCCAATGGTCTCATTGCTCTTACATGTAATTTAAATGGATTTAAAAAAAAAAATTAAAAATTTTTCCATTTTAAATTTTTTTTAAGTAGTGAAAGAAAAGTTGTTAATTTGCTATGACAGGAAGCTTCACTAGTAGGTTTGGGGTGGGTTTTTCCTTCTCTTTGCAGGCTTTAAAAGAAAAGTTTCATTTGTAGTAGAAATCAGCTGTTGCAAGTAGCAGAGGCAATCTCTTAATCTCTAAGATTAAGAGTAACCAGTATTTTTAATTTTTATATTTTTTTCCATCAAAATTGAAAGTCAAATTTACATAATTCTGTGTTTAGAAATGACTGATCTAGTTTGGGCTGGCAATAAGGAATCCTGATTCAAGCCTTTCCCTTCACTACCTGAAAGTTAACACTGAGAGGTGTGCAGCAATATACTTGGTACTGAATATTCTCACGGCATCTCATGGAAGGGAAGTGTCTGCTGCCTCACTGCTGTGGTACAAGTTCCTCTGTGGCACGCTGAAATGACGTCCAGTAGCTGGGGCGGGCACAGGAGCAGCAAAGCAGGAGCAAATCCAAAATATACAGATGAGCTAGAGAAGCTTGTGCAATCACAGGCGTTTATAAAAGGAGATGTCACGGACAGGACTGCCTGTCTGGCGGTCTCTAAGTAGCTCACATAAAGCTGGGAGTGCATGTCACACAGTCACTCACTTGCCCCCCTCATTTTCAGTCAGATAAGTCAGTCTTCACTTCCTCTCCTGAAACGTGCAACATTTATCACTAGAACAATCCGCCTGGCGCTTGGGGGTGTGAGGAGTTCGCTGCTGTAGAACCTTACTCTTTATTTATTGCCTGCATTAGCTGGAAGTTAAGTGTGACTGAGTGGCTATAAATTTCAGAGAAGAGAAGAACTTTGGCAATATGTCTCCCACAGTTATTCAGGGCCATGGGTCAGTTAAAAAAGCATCTCGAATTTCATACTTCAGTGGCTTGCCTTTAGGAGGATGGAGATGTGTTTTCCGTCTGCTCACCTCTGAGCGAATGCCTGCGTTTTTCCAGATGATGAGTTTTAAACAGGTGCTATTTTTAGTTTTCTGTTTTTCTGGTTTCCTGCTGCTTGCTGGTCTGTTGCTGCAGAGGCGATCTCCGGTTGTCTCCTTCCCATATGCTCCTCTTGAGTGCTGGCCTCCACATTTTGGCAGGGAACACGTGGGAGGCAGGCAGTGGTGCAGATGCTGAGGGATCCTGCTTTCTCAAGCTTTTCCTTAAAGGGTATCTTCCCTTCAGCCTTTACCTTTGTCAGCTGATTTCCCTTCTTCTTATCCCTGAAAGTCCCTTCCCTTGTGGACAAAGGTTAGTGTCTCCTGAGCAAGTGTCATCTTTTCACCCCAGAACTGCCCGCTGGAATAAACTCCTTTTGCTGTGGGTCTGCCCCAGGCTCAGCTCACCTACATAGTGAATAGGAACAGCTCTGTTTGACTGCAAGTCAGAGTCTTCTAAATACTGTATTTAGTATCCCTTTCACTTCTGGACAAGTGCTGAAAGAAGAAAAACACTGGAATCATTGGGAAAGTGCAGCTTCTACTAAAAACTCAATTCTAGGTTTGAAGCCTGTGATTGTCACAGGGAGGGCTGGTTAAACACAGCTCTCTGCCTGTTTCTTTGTTGCAGAGTTCTTGAACCAAGCTGTGAAATCTCAAAAATGTGGTGGATTTGGTTCATATTCTGTGGGTGCAGCACTAGGCCTACTTCAGCTTTCTCAAATTGCTACTGGAAGTGACACTTGTCAACTCAGCTCAATGCCACAGGCATTGACTGAACTTAATTTCTTTTTATTATTTCAAGCAGAAAGGCCTCCAAACTTCTTGACATCAACTCCAAACCAAAAATTATTACTCTGGAAACTAACAAAAACCCAGGTGTAGGCTCTGTTACATTTTAGAGCTGCAAACACTTTGCTGTCCCTCTGGCACAAAGTTTGTACTTGCTGTTCTATTCTCTGCTGACAAACCATTTTGAAATTTGCAGGAGATAAAAGTAGTGATCGTGAGGTTCCATGAGTTTGCATGGGTTTGGGAATTGTGGAGGAAAAAAGCAAGTGAGGAACAAGTAATTTATAGCATCTGTAGGACAAAAGTTAAACTGACCACCTGCATTAATTTGTTCATGTGTGAATGGATATGCAGTTAAAAAAATCAGATATGTTGAGACAATAGACTGCAGCAGCGGCCAAAAAAGCTGTTGAAGAGTTTCATGGTCATAATTTTTCTCTAAAAAATATCTAGAGACTCATTAATTTCCAGTGAAGTCCTTATGATCTGCTTTTTAAAACATCCCCAAATGGAAATTTATTATCATATGGATGATTTCAAAATTTCCAAAGGTGTCACTCAAATAAGTCAAGGTAAACATTTGTCATGCCAAAGAAAAAACAAAACACAATACATATGCAGAGAAAAAGAAACACCTTCTGGCAGTCATATTTATTCTCACTCATATTTTTTAATTAACACACAATGAAAACAAAAATATATTCCCCTCAGTGAGGCACAATCTTAATTTTAATAACAGTTTGGGGTTTTTTTTTCTTTGTTTTTTTTTTTCTTTTTTTATGGACAAATTCCAGAAAAATGGAGGTGAGATCCAATATCTTCCTTTTCCAACTTTGAACAATTTAGAGCAAATTAAACCATCTACAATATGTGGGCAAGAGCTGTTACTGTTTGGTAGTTCTGCTTGACTTTATAAACTCTTTAACAATTTGTCTGTGTGATAGGAGCTCTTTGGTGAAATGCTTCATGTCACCTGTGCTCCCAAGGGCATTTTTAGCACTCACAGTTTACTACAGCATCTCCTCCTCCTTTGCTTGAGGATGCATATGTGAAGGTTTCTATTTCAGAAACAAAACCACACCTGAAACACAGTGCTGTACTTTTCATAGGGGAATATAAATGTCTGGGTCCTGCAATGTTTGGCACAGTCTTACAGGAATTGTGAAAGGGCCAGAGAACATGTCTTATGAGGGATGGCTGAGAGAGCCGGGTTTGTTCAGTCTCAACAAGAGGGGGCTCAGGGGAGACCTCATTGCCCTCAACAATTCCCTGAAAGGAGGGTGTAGCAGGTGGGGCCAGTGCCTACAGTGACAGGACTGGAGGAAGTGGCCTTAAGCTGGGACAGGGCAGATTCAGGTTCAATATTAGACAAATTTTTTTCACCATTAGGTTGGTCAGGGATTGGAATAAGTTACCCAGGGAGGTGATGAAGTCATCATCCTTTGGAACCTTCAAGAAGGATCCAAAGCCAGTGCTGGATTATGTGGTTTAGGGGTTGCAGTGGAAGTGTTGGGTACTTGGCTAGACTGGATGATCTTGAGAGTCTCTTCCAACCTCGACAATTCTATGATTCTATGAATTGTTTTGAAAATTTACAAAAACAAATAAGCTGCTATAAACAAATAGTGCTCACAGTCTGGTATAAGTCCTCCTCATCCTCTGAATTGACTACTTGTTGCATGATGCTATATTAGAAGCACAGGAAAGTTTTGCTGTTTTTAATATAAGAAGGAAGTAGTATATATTACAGTATACAACACTGAATTGTGGAATTTGAAAATCATTATAAAAAAATTGTTAGTCTTGGTTTGATTCATTTGAATAAAGTTTTTATCTGGTTTACTGGGTTATAAACAGGTATTCCAGGCATTTACTGTTTTCAGCTTTTCCAGGTTTCCCTAGCAACACCTTCTCAGTAAGTTTCAATATTTTCAGTTATCATCTATTTTAATACTTACACAGATCTATTCTACATAAATATTGAAGACAGAAGCTTATCAGAATTGTGGTCCATCAAGTCTGGTATTCTGATGCTGCCATTGGCCAGTAGGAAATGGTATGCAGAAAGAGTAAATTTCTGCAGCAGCAAGAAACCTGTCTTCCATATCATGATGACATCATCACAATTTCTGATATTTCTGCTAAGCCTTCTTGGCCTGGTGAACAATTATCCCTTGAATGGACTAGGAAACACACTTCCTTACTGTACTTCAGTGCTTGGTACCCCTTCTGTCTATCTCTGATTATTGCATTGGTGGAACTGTTGAGTGCTTTGTGTTCAATGGCTAATTTGGAGTTTTTCTTCTTCACTCTTGATTAGACCAATAAAGTGAAGGCAAATTAAAGAAAGAAGGTGAGTGTGAGACCTACCACAGAAGGCTACATTCAGCATAATAGTTTTCCTTGGTCTTTGCTTCTAGGCATTGTCAGGTTTATATCTCTTTTGCCTTTGGCTTCTTGGTGGCTTGGTTTCTGAAGTTACTGCTCTGTAGGAGATTGATTGCCACACCACAGGCTTGTTTGGATGAATAAGTAACCAGATTACATCAATTTTTGTATTTCAGCTGCATAACTATATAACATGTAGAACCTAGAAACAGGAGTAATTTGTAAATAACTTTTCTTTTTTCTTCCCCCCTTCCTGCCCCTCTTCCCCCCCACTCCCCCCTGCCCTTTTGTTTCTGGAAAGCAGGATCAGCAAAAGTCATCATTCACCTCAACTCTGTCAAGTGAAGCATCTTGCTCTCTCTCCTCTCCTGAAAGCACTTTCAACTCCCAAGAATCATCATCTTCCTTGACATCCAAAGTGGTTTATTCCGAGAGGCAGTCCTGGCTTGACCTGGTAAACAGCTCTGCCACGGAAGAGGGTGACCAGCCTTTAACGTTCTGTGTACAGATTCACTCTGATGAGCCGCCAGGAGTGGTCTGTGGAGAAGCAGCAGAAAGCCAGGAAGTCCAGCTTTCTGAATCCAATGGTGAATCCCAAACCTCTTACTTGAGTGCAGATACACATTGTCTAACTGTGCCACATGCAACAGGACAGCAAACACTAGCCAAAGGTGAGCTAATGAGAGAGATTTTTGTTGCAGAGCCACATAATATAAAAGTTACGGGTTTCCTTAACTTCCTTTCCCCTTCCTTCCTCTATATTTTTCACTGAAGAGTTTTCCAGTGGTACATCATTTATAGCATTTAATTTATTGTACATTTAATATATAACCTAGTGTCTGGTTGGTAGGTAACTTTACAGTTTTTCTCAAATGGTATCTATTTGTTATAACCTCTGTATATAAATTTAGCATAGACATAATTTTATTAACATTCTTTATTTCAATGCAGATATGTTTTATTTGTTAGGATTGAATTGAAATGTTAACAAAGTGTGTCACAGAATGGACACTGTAATGAAACTGTAATATGTAGGGAACGGTGAACATCGGGTTAAGTCAATCCAATTTTACAAATATGTGCTGTTGCATTTACTCAAAATACATACTCCCTATTTGCTTCATTAAGCTTCATTGCAATCAAGGGAAACCAGCTGAAATCCTGAATCAGAAAGTCTATTAAGACTGGATTTTGTTTAATCAAATAGGTATCTGCACAGTATCCTCCTACTGAAATGTACTGCTAATTGAAAGGTGGCATGGCTCCAGAATTCGGTCATTGTTACTGTTTGTAATTCTCCTGCGTAGTGGGGAAATACCTCTTGTCTTTTGAGCAAAACTTCTTCTTTCTGAATTAAAACAGCTGAATCCTAAGAGCTGTTCCTGGCATACAATTATTCTGTGTACAGAGGTAATATATAAGGGAACAACAACATTCCTCTGCCTCATCTCCTCCCATGATTCCAAATCCTTGTAACAATTTGAAGTGAGTACTTTGTTGCTGAAAGAGAAGGGTTGTCTCAGCACAATGCAAAAGAAGGGTGCATCTAAGAGCTTAGGCTGGAAGTAATGCAGTGGTGGAAAGAAACAGCACTGGAGTTGTTGGGAACTCAGGGTACTTCTCTGCAGGTGAACTTGACACTGGAAGATGACACTATGAGGCACATTAGTTACCTTGTCAATCTCCTTATGTTTTACAAATAGCAACACTTAGAAAGCTGTCACCCCTTTACGTTGTCGTACCTTTTCTGATTTTACACAAAAAAAAGGACATTAAGAAAAGTAAAGTTTTCATCAAAAGTGACAATTAACTCATTGTTATTTATGTTCAATTTATGTTCACCTACCTTATCCATTTTGTAGGCTTCTCTGCTAGAAAATTCTGCAGCAATGAAGAGCAGAAAGAATTAAAATCCAGAGTGAGCATATATGCTGTTTCTATGTATTGGAATAGAGTGCTGTGCTTTGAGTTACTGTGGAATCAAATTCCCCTAATTCTGGGTTTGCAAGTTGTGAAAAGGCTAGGGCTGGCAGAAATGGAGTCCCTAATGAAAATGTCACAAAGACATATTAAATATATCTTTACAGAATTGTTTTCTGTAATTTTACCTTCTGGGTTAAATTTGATAAAGTAATGTCTTTGGAAAACATTACTGGGGACATTCAAGTGGATTGTTGGAATGTAGATCATAAATGGCATAGTGGCTTATATCTGTTGACAAAGATTCAGTGTTTGCTCTTCAGAAATCTAAACTTTTGCTTAGAATATTGTCTGAAATTGTCAGAAATCCTGCAATAATGCGTAGGTTACTGCTTTCCATTGTAATGTAAGGGTGACAAATACTCTTACGGATGTCATAGAATTAGCATGACACATTCATAATCACTTAAAGTATAGTTTGATTGGCTCAATCATACTAACTAATAAAATGGGATTACAATGTAAATCAAGGCACATTTTGGTACACCCCTGCAGTGTGCAAGATGGTTTAATTTTGATAAGATTATTCTTATCAATGAATTCTTCTGTTGCTCACTGCTTAGCTGATGAGCAACCCTAATGGCAGAACACAGAGCACTTCCATCCTAATGATCACAGTGGTGATCATTGACAGAATCCCAGAAATAA